ATATAGAATTACAAAATTTATATCGCCTGTCTGCTGCAATCGACGTAGCAGAGCGCGGCTGTTGACAGCACCTCGCGTGACTCCTCTCGAGATTTACACGTCCTCGGGGGAGAAGCGCTGCTCTAAATTGACACGTGCCAATGATGATAAGCAGCGTCCAGTCGGGCGATAGGTCGAATCGGCCACCGAATAACCGATTTCGTTTTTCTTTTTCAGGGATCAGGATGCGGTGGATCGGTTACGTGGCCACGATTCTCTGGTGGTCGGGCATCGCCAGGTCTCTCAGTACGCTGAATCGAGGTCACAGTCAGTAATATTCCTTTTGGTCATTTAAACGCGCCTCCGCCGTTTCGTTATCTCCAGCGAATATACCACACTCCCTGTAGCACGTCTTTTTTCGGACACCCACCCCCGTCGTCCCCGTCTCGTACTTTCGAGGCGGCCAAACCTGCACCTGCCGTTCCTCCTCTCTTTTCTCACTTCTCCCTGTCTTCATTTCGCACCCGTCCTCCCTTCGAGGCATCCTTCCCTCCCGTCCGAAGATTCCCCATAAATGTATAACGCTTAATTGGAAGGAGAACTCGGTCAAGGTGCAGTCGGTCGTGCACGTGAGCGTGAGAAAAGAAAAGCGAAAGAAGGTGCTACTTTCTTTTTGTTTCGATGAATCCCCGACCCCGAAGGGAGAAGCTTCTTTATCTATCATTTCTTGCCCTGCTCTCGGATAATTCATCCGCGCAATCAGCTGTGAGCTTCGCCAACAAAGACGCGGCGCAGCCTAGACACACGTTCGTGCTGGAGATGGAAATACCTGTCTCGAATCAAGCCAGACACATTTTATATTTCGACAAGTATTTCGCAAGTAGAATAATCGTTACAATAAACTGTAACGTACATAACGATATTATAATAACTTACGACTTGCACAATTTGTAATTTTTTTTTTAACGAGATCTGGCTGGCGAATGTCGAACGGCATCGACGGTCAATTCTCGAATAGTGATTCGAGTCCGTTCGAAGGCAACAACGCGCGATAAAATCTTCTTTCCTAATGCGGACTCTTCTTTCCTTTATAACGTAACGCAGTCGCGATACAGGCTGACACGATCATGTTTCTAGCGGTGAAAGCGACTGCGTGAAGCGCTCCTACATCGCATCGCTGCGGTCGTAATTTACGTTACCCGAGTCTTACCGTGACTCGGTTAATGACTCGGCCCAGGTCTACGTACCTCCTTCCAGTTATTAAGTTTCATTTTTTTTTTTTTTACACGATCTCTCACGCGTGCTTCGACAAGTGGTACACTTTCACCGAACTTGACGGCGAGGTAGACCTCATGTATAACATACGTGAGACAGTCTAATTGTCGAGCATGATATGACCTATCGTAGTGTACCGTGCGACACGATGTCACGCAATGGTATCATCCTTCGGTATGCCCGTCAAGTTTAATACATGTAATCTCGTTATACTCGGGGGGGAGGGGGGGAGGGGAGGCAGGTTTCGCCCCGATTTTTCGGAGGGCGTGCATAGAAACACCGGTCTCTCGAATTGTGAGTTGAAATTATAAGTTGTTAAATTCACCGAGAGACAGTATGATCGACGTTAGCGTGCTTTCATCGGCGCATTAACGTTACGGCGCCGTCTGACTTCGGACTCCGACGTGAGAAATGTATAATGTAATGGAGACGTGAGATTAAAGTCAGTTACGTTTAACGGCGAACGTACGTAGGAAATAAATGAGATATTCGTCTTTTGTCGGCTCGCGTTTCTTAATACCGACGTGTAGTCCAAGGGAGTCTCTCAAAGACTCGAGCGCCGATGATCGTCGGAAGGGATGAGAAATAGCCTGAAACGGTCGATTTGTTTTCCATTTTGCGCAGGTTACAAAATCACCCCGAAACCCTGCAAAGTGCCCGGTACGGAGAGCAAAGAAGGCACGTGCATGTTCGTGTGGGAGTGCATCAAGTCCGAGGGGACGCACGTGGGTGTGTGCGTGGATACCTTCATGTTCGGCAGTTGTTGCGTTCACAACACGACAGCGAACACGATAGGCGCGTTTTACCATCCTCATAATCATTATCAGCAGCACCAGCAGCAGCAGCAGCAGCAACACGCGGACGGTACGACGAGTACGCTCAGGCCGGGTTCACTCCTGGCGGAGCCAACCGGGAACGAGACCATCAGATTGACGTCGACTTCCCTCTTGGGATTCTCCTCGGCAGCGTCAACCACCGCGAAACCGAGTCTCCATCACTTCTCGGGATCTCACGGTGGCTCCGGGGGCTCGACCAGACCGATGAAACCGTATTCGCACGGTGTCGGAAGGCCTTTGCAGAAAAGGCCGCACGCCAAACCAACGTCCGAGCACGAAGTCGACGTGCTGCAGACCCCCGCAGTGTCCTCCGCGTCCACGGACACGTGGGCGGAAGGGAGACCGCAAGAAACGAAGAGACCGGGTCATCATCCGGGTCATTCTCATCATCATAAGACGAGGCCGGACGACGGAACGCCGAGCGACAATCCATCGTCCGTTCTAAGCCAGCCGGGTTTCAAGGACAAGCTGGAGACACACAACACTTTAACGGTGCGCTTGCCGGGGAAGGAACACGCCGATGTCGATGAAGCCGTCGATTCGAGCGGCCTGAGCAAGCCCAGCAAACAGGGCAAACCGGGTAAACCGGGCAATCAAAGGCCCTTTGAGTCGAGACCGGACGATGGGAAGACCGAAGACGTTCAGGATCTCAGCGTCCAGGAAACGATAAATCGACCGAATGTCAATTCCGTCATTGAAAGCGTAAGGAAGAAAATTTATTATTATAACTCGCGATCACTCTATGATTATAACTCGTGATTCAGCGAGATAACTTTAAAAGGATTTCTTGTATAACATTCTTCTCTTGTCGTCGAGAGTTCACTTTCCTTGGATCAGTCAGGCACCTATTTTTTGAGAGTTTATTTAAATTATGAAAGATACTTTGTCCATTTTGACAATTATAATAAAATTATATCAAGATAGAGGTAAAAAAAAAACTAAAACTGTCTTATCCAGTTTCTGTAAAAATTGTACATTGCAGCAATACTGGGATTAATATTTATGTGGTGGAAATTTAATAAAAATATTCCTTTGACTGGATTTTTTAGCGGGGCTTGGAAATATTTATATCGTAGGTGGCAAAGCTATTTTATTTCACGATATATAAGCAGCGAGTTTAATGGAATATTGATTTTCCGCCAGGAACCTGAGAAAGAGACGCATCTGGGCTTGAATTTCGTGCACACTGAACGGCCGCACTGGGCAACCAAGCCAGCACAGTCAAAACCATCGTCGACGGACTTCTCAAAGCCGTATTTTTCAATTAAAACGACCACTTATCGGCCAATAAGCAGTCAACCAGATCATAGGCCGAATTTTATCTCGAGGCCCAACTGGGTACTATCCACGAAAACGTCGACGACAACGACTGTCAGGCCGACGTATGCCAGACAGCCTTCCACCAGGTATGCAACTAGTTTTTAAGTCGGCTAGTTTTTAAGTCGTCTAGTTTTCAAATCGCAATATATATATATATGTAAATCTGTCGTTTCGCCTCTAATAGTTCTTTTTACATGTATTATGAAATATTTATATTTATAAAAATATTTATGTAAACAATTTTGCGTACCATAATACATATAAAGCGTATCATACCGTGACAAGTAAAATTCACGTATTTAATAAATCATTAGTACATCAGTCACGTGTTTACGTTCATTCCATATCGAGCCCAACTTAAAATTTATCTTTCATTCTAGCGCAGCCGGATCCGTGCCACAAACCTCTCACTGGCAAGTGACTACAGAGCCGGCATTCGTCACAAAACAGAAACCGTCATCGTTGTCCTCATCCTTGCCAACATCGTTCTCCTCGCTTTCGTCGTCGTCGTCGTCGTCGTCTTCGTCAGCGTCTTCGTCATCCAAGCCGATAACCGCAATTACTGTGCCGGAAACCGTGCGAATTCCGTCTTTAGGTACGAGTTCTCATTTCTGGTCGAACAGCTGGACACCACCTAGGCCGTCTTTGAAACCTCACTGGACCGACAGTCCCAGCCTTCTTCAGAATGGCCCGGAAAACTTCCCTCCGCGACCGAGTCTAAAGCCAACCGAGTCGCAACAGGTACGAAGCCGTTTTCTTTTCTTCGTAGAGCAAAAATTCATTAATGCCGCCATAATTATTCTTTCCTCTCGTTCTCATGTTTCAAATCATAAGTACATAAAGACGAAAGGGCGGACTATATAAAATTCGTCAAAATTATTATTAAACAAAAGGTTCCTCCCGATAATGGAAAATGTTAATATTTATTTATCCTTACACACACATCTTACTGATCTGATACTCACTTGTTGTTAAAATTGATAAATACATTGTTGAAATTTTGAGAAAAACAATGGAATCTTATCTATAACATTGTTAACGTTAACAATTCATTTCCTGATCCTTTTCATCTTACAGAGCACCGAATACCAGAAGCCCTTGGGTTCGGCGCATTACATAACAACGTCCCATTTGGAGACTTCAACTAGGCCGCGGCCGACGAAGAAAACCACAGTGCAAAGCACGACACCGTCCACATTGACGTCCCCCGCCAGCGGTACGACTAGTCCGACGAGCACGACGGTAACGATGACGGCCACGAGCAGCACGAGCAGCGGCGCGAGCAGTACGAGTACCACGAGCGCAGCCACTACGACGCAAGGATCGTCGACGACGAGCGAGAAGGCAACGGGTTCGGTGATGACTGTTGCGGCCGCTGACGAGAGCAAGAACATGCAGTGCGGGGTGCCACCGTTATTTCCGCGGCCGGAAACGAGGATCGTCGGCGGGAAGGACGCGTCGTTCGGCCGGTGGCCATGGCAGGTATCCGTACGTAGGACCTCCTTCTTCGGTTTCTCGAGTACCCACCGTTGCGGCGGGGCGGTGCTCAACGAGAATTGGATCGCCACCGCGGGCCATTGCGTCGACGAGTGAGTACGCTACGTTATTTCCGTCGTTCCCTCCAGTTACGACGCGTGCAATCCCGTTTAACCTTGCCCCGCACCTGTCTTTCAGTTTGCTGACGTCGCAAATCCGGATACGAGTCGGCGAGTACGACTTCTCGTCGGTGCAAGAGCGACTGCCCTACGTGGAACGTGGAGTCGCCAAGAAAGTCGTGCATCCCAAGTATAACTTCTTCACGTACGAGTACGACCTCGCGCTGGTGCGCCTCGAAAGTTCCTTGACGTTTGCCGCCCACATCTCGCCCATCTGCCTACCGGCTACGGATGACCTCCTGATCGGCGAGAACGCGACAGTCACCGGCTGGGGTAGATTAAGCGAGGGTGGAACGCTACCTTCTGTATTGCAGGAAGTAATTGTCGTATTGATTGTTAAACCCTTTGGCCTTACACATGCCCCTTCAGACGTTCCACGGACTTTTATTGTTCTCTCTTTCAAGGTCTCCGTGCCGATAGTGAGCAACGACAGGTGCAAGTCAATGTTCTTGAGGGCCGGTAGACACGAGTTCATACCGGACATTTTTCTTTGCGCCGGTTACGAGACTGGCGGGCAAGATTCGTGTCAGGTACGTGCATAAGAATACTCTCTTAAATACGACCTGCTGTTCATGTATCGAGTTTCCACCGAGAGACTTTTACGTTCTTGCGAATCACACAGGGCGACTCCGGTGGACCTCTCCAGGTTCGCGGAAAGGATGGCAGGTACTTCCTCGCGGGTATCATATCCTGGGGCATCGGTTGCGCGGAGGCTAACTTACCGGGCGTCTGCACGCGGATATCCAAGTTCGTACCGTGGATTTTGAAGAACGTCACCTGATCACTGATGTACCCGACGACGAACGCGAAGAGATGACACAGGGCGACTCTCTCGAACTCTCGGACGAAATTTCTCGCGCAAACAAGCGATTCACAGTGTCGTCTCGTGCGATATCGAAAGACATTATCCTAGAATTGTCACGCGATTGAAAATACGGCTACTATATCGTTTGCATTTATTTATTTGCATTTACACTGCCACTCACGGAGTAAAGATCCAGGTTGCTATATATATATATGAAACAAATGTATACCCGGCACTAAAAGATGTGAAATAGGATCATCGTCGGGAGTTATGGAATATACATATATATTAGTGACGTATGTGAAATCTCGTGCATTATAGCAGCACACTGAACTGTATTTATGCATAAAAGTACGTAAGGAAATAATATATTTGCTAGATTAAGGCTAAATAAATAAGGGAAGTCTCAATTGTGTAATAAAAAGATCAAAGGAACAGTCCGATAGATTTCGAAGATACATCGTTATCGTTCTTGCCACTTCGATCCGAATATGAAATACAATACACGAACACATACACACGCGCGCGCGCGTGT